GGCTAACGTTGGCCCGTCCGCGGCACACATGGCTAACGTTGGCCCGTCCGTGGCACACATGGCTAACGTTGGCCCGTCCGCGGCACCCAGGGCTAACTTTAGCCCGTCCACGGCACACAGGGCTAACGTTATCCGCGGCACCCTGGGCACGTTAGCCTATTCGCAGCAACCACATTTGCTCTCTGTTCTCACAGAGGCAACTCTGCTGTGTTCAGGTCAAAGGTCACACTAAACACCTCACCTTGAAAATAAACTTCTTGATCCAGGGTCTCTGGGACAGGAAGTCCAGCATGGAGAAGCCGGGGTTGGGTCTGACGGCAGCCATGGTCACCCAGTAGCCTCCGGTGGAGCTCGGACGGACGTTGTCTGGGAAGCCTGGCAGGTTGTCCACAAACGTGTCCATTCCCCCTTTGTTGAGTCCAGCAACATGGACCCTGGAGAGAGGACAGAGTCAGACCTGCCTGACCTGCAGACAGACCGGGTGCTGGGGCAGGGTACCTGCGGATCCGGGCCATGGTGGTCTCTGCAACCAGAACCGACTCTTCATTGGGCAGAAGCTGGATGCCGTTTGGAAATCGGAGGTTCTCCATGACGACTGACAGCTCTTTGGTCTCTGCGTCGTACTCCAACACCCTGAAGGAGACAAAAACAGGCTTTTATTTTCCCTGGTTTGCAGTTCCAGTCCAGGACCAGCCAGACGGGTCCTACCGGCCATCAGCCGTGGCCTCCATGATGAGTTGCAGGTAGTCTCTACGCTGCCACCTGCTGCTGGAGTCGGTGAAGTACACCTTCTTCCCGTCCTGGGTCACTGTCAGGTCGTTGATGAAGGACAGCTTCCTGCCAGCGACCACCTGACCCCCCGACACCAACCGGGTGGCAGCTCCTGCAGAGAAAACTGCTGAGCTCCAACAGGAAGGCAGCAGGTGGAAGGAGGTGTGGCCAGAGGGAGCTCACCTGTGGTGGGGTTGACCTCGAACAGCCCCAGGTAGGCGTCGGCTACAAAGAGAGTCCCGTTGGGTCCGACTCGGATCCCCAGAGGCCTCCCACAGGTGGGCTCATCTTCTCTGGAGCCTGCAGAAGGTCAGGGTGCCAAAAAAAGGCTTTAGCCAATCAGAGCCCTGCTCAGAGCCGATGGCATCAGCCAGTTTGAGGCGAAAAATTGAAAACATCTTAAAAGGAACTCGGACCTCCATCTGCCACGTCTGACTGGGTGTGACCCGACTGAATGCCCATCAGAACCCTCAGTACGTCAAGTAGCGCGTCTAAAGGTTAGCATGCTATCAGAACCCGCAGTGGGAGGAGCTATGGGCTGCAACCGTCAGCGCTAATCAGTTCATGATCGGAGAGGAAAAGGTTACTGACAGAAGATTGACACTGAAACAGATCCGAGTCGATCTGATCGGCTCCGAGTCTCTGGCAGCTTCCTGTTCCCCGGCTAACGAGTTGATCGCTAAATTAGTTCAGGATTATTTGGATAATCAAAGAATTTCTCCCAGCGGCTGCTGCTCCTTTATTTTGACCAGCGATGAAAACTTAACGTCATCATCATCATCATCATCATCATCATCAGTGAGCTTTGGCCTTCTGGAAGAACCCTGATGAACTTTGCTCCCAACTCATCATGGAAAACTAAAGGTCAGGATTCCCTTATGGCTTCTAAATG